GCAATCTACAGATTCAATGAAATCCCTATCAAATCACCAGTTTTTCACAGAACTAGAACAAAAAATAATTAAAATTTGTGTGGAGGCACAAAAGACCCTGAATGGCCAAAGCAATCTTGAGAAAGAGAAAGGAAGCTGGAGGAATCAGGCTCCCTGACTTCAAACTATACTACAAAACTATAATCATCAAAAGAGTATGGTACTAGCACAGAAAACAAATATAGATTAATGGAGCAGGATAGAAAGCCCAGAAATAAACCCACACATGTATGATCAGTTTATCTATGACAAAGGTTGTTGTTGAGTCGCTCAGTTGTGTCTGACTCTTTGTGACCCCATGGACTGCAGCCCACTAGGCTCCTCTGTCCATGGCATTTCCCAGGCAAAAATACTGGACTGGGTTACCATTTCCTACTCCAGGGATCTTCCTGGCCCAGGAATCAATCTCACATCTCCTGCTAGTCTCCTGCATTGCACACAGATTTTTTTTACCACTGAGCCACTGGGGATTTTGACAAAGGCAGCAAGGCGATATAATGGAGATAAATGGTGCTGGGCAAACTGGTCAGCTATGTGTAAAAGAATGAAATTAAAACATTCTTTAACACCATGTATAAAAATAAGCTACATGTAGTATTATTTTAAAAGGTCCTTTCTGGTTATCTCATAACTCAAAACATAGAAGTCTCTCATAACACAGAGGACTATGACTTAGCAGTAGTAGTAGTAGTAGTATTAGTGTTAGTCACTCAGTCACATCTGACTCTTTTCGACCCCATGGACTATAGCCTGCAAGGCTCCTCTGTCCATGGAATTCTCCAGGTAAGAATACTGGACTAGGTTGCCATTCCCTTCTCCAGGGGATTTTCCTGACCTGGGGATCGAACCCAGGCCTCCTGCATTGCAGGCAGATTCTTTACCATCTAAGCCACCAGGGAAACCCCAGACTATGACTTACACCCCAACAAAACAACCAGTGCATGCAGTATGTCCAGCTTAAACTGATCTTCAGTTTCCCATATCTAAATGTCATCTTTATCTAGAAATTTAAGGAAAGAAGAATTTTTTTCTCTGGTCCTCCTAATTCGGCCACTCAGAGTTTCTCGTCAATGCCACATGCTCCTCCCTGATAGTACAGACATGCTTTGAAGAATGCTTTGACTTCACTTAGTATCCTTTGGCCCAGAAATGTTTTATCCATAGAATACTGATACACAGGTTGTACTAGAGGGAAAATCTCTAATTGTACACACCATATGACTCATTTCTCAACAGAATTGCATCTAATTCAACTCTTCACAAGGGTTCCATACGTATGCACTCCAGTTTCTAACCTTTTACCTTGTAGAGCATACCTGCTGTCTCACTTTTACCTTTCATCTTAGAAGGGGAATGTGTAATTCTTTTTGAATTATTTTAGAATACTTTTGGTATAATTTATAAGGGGTAATTGCCTTCAATTTGACTAAAGCAAATTACTTATGGTCTTAACAGTCTGGAATATAATTTTTTTTCATTATATTTGTACTTCAGATGAGTTTGGTCAAGGAATTATCGGTATCACTGATAAATATACACTCACAGAGTAAAGGCAAATTAACATTGATTCAAGGAACTGGTCAAGTTTTAGACACCCTTAAATTTCATATTTAGAGGTTAAAGAGTGGGCAGATTATGAATGAATGAATGGAGTGCAGAGCCCCTGGAAGAATGGAAAGTACTTTGATTTAAGAATCAGAAACCTATACCCTGATCATAGCAGCACTTCTAATTATCTGCACAATAGAGGCAAGTTAATCTCTTTGAGTCTCATTTACTTAACCTACAATAGATTTTGTTTGGATGAGATTAAACATGATATTTAAATTTCTAATGATTCTTTGATAATTAGCATTTATTCAGTGATGAAATATAATGGAATTATAATTATATATAAAGTATATATAATGATGGATATAAATTTTCATATATATGCATATAAAGCTTATAAATGATGGATATATAGATTTGTATAAATTGGTTACCATTTAGAGTTAACTACCATATCAGTTCAGTTCAGTTCAGTATCTTAGTCATGTCTGACTCTTTGCAACCCCCTGAACCACAGCACACCAGGCTTCCCTGTCCATCATCAACTTCTGGAGCTTGCTCAAACTCCTGTTCATTGAGTCAGTGATACCATCCAACCATCTCATCCTCTGTTGTCCGCTCCTCCTGCTTTCAATCCCTCCCAGCATCAGGGTCTTTTCCAATGAGTCAGGTCTTCACATCAGGTGGCCAAAGGATTGGAGTTTCAGCTTCAGCATCAGTCCTTCCAATGAACACCCAGGACTGATCTCCTTTAGGATTGACTGGTTTGATCTCCTTGCTGTCCAAGGGACTTTCAAGAGTCTGATCCAACACCACAGTTCAAAAGCATAAATTCTTTGGTGTTGAGCTTTCTTTATGGTCCAACTCTTACATATACTCAGTTATTTTTATGTGTGTCACTACTAGTATAACAATAATTTTATTTTCTTCCACTAATAAAGTAACATGACTAGTGTTTTATTTATCACATGGCATGACTTAAAATTTGGATAGTTCTTAAAATGTTAAAAGCTGGATAGAATATGTTTTAAGTCTAATCAGAGGAATGAGACTATTCTTTTGGTCTTTCATATAATTTCTTTCTCAAATATTGGCTTGTAATCTTGAACACCCATTGATGAATTGCACTTCAGTTTGAAATCCAAAGGTGAAGGTGGAAAAAAAGAAGCTTGAGTTTCTGATGGGAGGAGAAGATGATGGAGCATCAAATTCTGATTTAATGAATTATAGCTCATTTTGGTTAGATTAAATGTGCTTTGCTTTGATTTTTTTCCCTTTTAATCTGTAAATTATGGGGATGATCTTTAATGTCTGTACTAGTTTTCACATTGTGAAATTTGCCTTTTGATTTTATTATAGCAATAAACTTTCTACTGAAGTTATTATTTTTTGTACCTATGTGTCTACTCCATGTTATGTCTCTTTCTGTTTATAATAAACTCACATATTTTTCTTGCTAGGGGGGAGTATACTTTTAATTGTTTTTATTTGACTAGGAGCTATAGGACCCCATTAGCCTCCATTGCTAAGGGATATTTCAATTAATATCTCTGACAGAGAAAGTCTGTGACTCATCAATATTATTTTCAGAGGTTGTCTGGTCTTAGGAAATAGCCACTTAAGGTTATGTTTAATAATGATTGTCCTGATAATCACGGTTGACTAAAGTATCTGAGATCAACTCCTCAATATAAAACATTTCTTATAAATGCTTTGGATAGTGATTAGACTGAGGAAAAGATAAATGTGATTGAGTTTTGCCTCCTTTGGACTTTGAATAGTATCCAGGTATTTTTCTGTCATCTAGGTGTTCAAAGGTAGACAAGAGAAATATGCATCTGACCCCATAGCAGAAGGCTGTATTTGTTTTTGTGAGGATGAATGAGAAGACAAAATGTAACTTGATGAAAAGTTTATTGGCAATTTTTATGCAATACAATTTTCTGGATCCTGATTCCAGGTGGTCATGTCAATAAATTAAAAAACAGCAGTACAGTGTTCCAGTGGTGGTACAAAAGACGCAAATATTCTGAATCTTAAACTACTACATTTTTTTGTTGTTTAGGACACAGAATATATTACAATGTTATTAGAGAAATTTTGGCTCCTAAATCATGTCTCTTAGCTTCTTGGATAGGTTTGTCAACAATAAATTAAATCAACCTGGAATATATAAAATTATTTTTAAATGCTCACTTTATTCAAGAGAATCCAATCACTTTGCCATGTAGTTCTAAATATGTCCCAAATGCAATTTACTTCTTCCATCCACTATTTTCTAAGAGCTCAATGATTATGGATCCTTACAAAAAAGCCTTGTACCAAACAAAAGAAATAGAAAACAGTACTACAGTTAAATAGGAAATCAGATGTAAGCCCCCACTACCAAAAGAAAGGATCATTTAAAATATCTTAATTTCATGTTGTATGTCTCATTTCTCGATTGGATTAGTTCTTATCTTGAGTTAGTTTGTCTTCCTTTGGTTTAAAATTATTATTCAAAGTAATAGCACCTTTGTTCTTTGATATATTCATAGAGTGGGGTGTTGCTATCTAAGTAAAAGGAACCTGAATCTGTTCTCTCTCTTCCATGGTAACCTCTGACCTCAGAGTCTCTTGTCTGCTTATCATCAACATCCTGATTGTATTTTCTCATGGTCCCTGATGGACTTGACCCAGACTCTTGCTTTTGCCTTTCCCCACTCCATGTGGTTACACTGCTTGATAAATACCTAAAACTATTTTCTTCAGTTCCCAAAGGGACTTGGCTATCAAGTGAGTGACTGCCACTTGACTGCCCATAGCTGTCCCTTGACTGGCCATGGCTGTATACTTGTCTTTCATTGGTGCTGAATCCAGACTGACCCTGAATGTGTCCTGATTGTCCATCACTTGATCCCTGTGTTGCTAAATTTGTGCTGGATCTTACCAGATCATGAGAAGATGAATCTCCCAAGTGCTGATGGCTGGATTCAGGTACATCTATTGTATTGAACTCCAATGGTCTATGCCTCAATTCTGATTGTTCATGACTCTTTGCCCCCAAATCTTCTAAATACCCCTTACTATCACTATGGGAGGTTTGACTTCTAGTTGAACTAGAATCTGAATGGCTGTGGGCTGATAAGCGTTTTCCATGGTCAGATGCAGAGTGGTTCCTAAGCTGAATGCTATGAGTAGACCCCATCTTGCAGACTGAACAAGGATATCTCTTGACTGTTCCTGAGTTGCTACTGAATGTCTATGACTAGATCCCTGACCTCCAGTTGTACCAAATCCAGAATGGTTATGTGAATCAATTGAAAGCCCATCGCTTATCTCTGATTGTCCATGACTTGAATCTTGTCTTCCTATTTGTTCAGTTGCTTTTGATCCCATGTAGTAAAAACTAGAAACTGATAGTCAATGACTAGATGCTTGCTTGGTTGCAGCTCTGTCTGTTGACCTAAAAGGACTAGAATTACGACTGCTTGTCCTGCTACCACCAGAAGGTCCATAACCAGACTGCCCATAGTCATATTCGGCACTCCCATAACTGCCATGTCTCCAGGCTTGATCTGATCTATGTCTTTGTCTGCCAATAATCTGTGATGTAGAATGACTTTCACCAGAATGCGCATGAGTGTGACTTGACTGTCTGTTTGACCAAGTAGATTGCCCAAGATCAGAGTGGCCATGTCGGGTGGTGTCTCCTGACTGCCCATGAGCAGTTCCGTGTCTCCCTCTCACTGTGGCTCCTGACTCTCCATGTTGAGATCCAGCCTGCCCATGAGTGGATCCAGAGTGTCTCTCTGAGACTTCTGAATGCCTTTCACTGTCGCTAGCCTCACTGTGACTGGATCCCTGTCTTCCCGCCTGACTGGACCCTGACCGTGTAGATTGTCCCTGACTGGAGTGGCCATGTCTGGTGGTGTCTCCTGACTGCCCATGAGCAGTTCCATGTCTCCCTCTCACTGTGGCTCCTGACTCTCCGTGTTGAGATCCAGCCTGCCCATGAGTGGATCCGGAGTGTCTCTCTGAGACTTCTGAATGCCTTTCACTGTCGCTAGCCTCACTGTGACTGGATCCCTGTCTTCCCGCCTGACTGGACCCTGACCGTGTAGATTGTCCCTGACTGGAGTGGCCATGTCTGGTGGTGTCTCCTGACTGCCCATGAGCAGTTCCGTGTCTCCCTCTCACTGTGGCTCCTGACTCTCCGTGCTGAGATCCAGCCTGCCCATGAGTGGATCCTGAGTGTCTCTCTGAGACTTCTGAATGCCTTTCACTGTCGCTAGCCTCACTGTGACTGGATCCCTGTCTTCCCGCCTGACTGGACCCTGACCGTGTAGATTGTCCCTGACTGGAGTGGCCATGTCTGGTGGTGTCTCCTGACTGCCCATGAGCAGTTCCGTGTCTCCCTCTCACTGTGGCTCCTGACTCCCCGTGTTGAGATCCAGCCTGCCCATGAGTGGATCCGGAGTGTCTCTCTGAGACTTCTGAATGCCTTTCACTGTCGCTAGCCTCACTGTGACTGGATCCCTGTCTTCCCGCCTGACTGGACCCTGACCGTGTAGATTGTCCCTGACTGGAGTGGCCATGTCTGGTGGTGTCTCCTGACTGCCCATGAGCAGTTCCGTGTCTCCCTCTCACTGTGGCTCCTGACTCCCCGTGTTGAGATCCAGCCTGCCCATGAGTGGATCCGGAGTGTCTCTCTGAGACTTCTGAATGCCTTTCACTGTCGCTAGCCTCACTGTGACTGGATCCCTGTCTTCCCGCCTGACTGGACCCTGACCGTGTAGATTGTCCCTGACTGGAGTGGCCATGTCTGGTGGTGTCTCCTGACTGCCCATGAGCAGTTCCGTGTCTCCCTCTCACTGTGGCTCCTGACTCTCCGTGCTGAGATCCAGCCTGCCCATGAGTGGATCCGGAGTGTCTCTCTGAGACTTCTGAATGCCTTTCACTGTCGCTAGCCTCACTGTGACTGGATCCCTGTCTTCCCGCCTGACTGGACCCTGACCATGTAGATTGTCCCTGACTGGAGTGGCCATGTCTGGTGGTGTCTCCTGACTGCCCATGAGCAGTTCCGTGTCTCCCTCTCACTGTGGCTCCTGACTCTCCGTGCTGAGATCCAGCCTGCCCATGAGTGGATCCGGAGTGTCTCTCTGAGACTTCTGAATGCCTTTCACTGTCGCTAGCCTCACTGTGACTGGATCCCTGTCTTCCCGCCTGACTGGACCCTGACCGTGTAGATTGTCCCTGACTGGAGTGGCCATGTCTGGTGGTGTCTCCTGACTGCCCATGAGCAGTTCCGTGTCTCCCTCTCACTGTGGCTTCTGACTCCCCGTGTTGAGATCCAGCCTGCCCATGAGTGGATCCGGAGTGTCTCTCTGAGACTTCTGAATGCCTTTCACTGTCGCTAGCCTCACTGTGACTGGATCCCTGTCTTCCCGCCTGACTGGACCCTGACCGTGTAGATTGTCCCTGACTGGAGTGGCCATGTCTGGTGGTGTCTCCTGACTGCCCATGAGCAGTTCCGTGTCTCCCTCTCACTGTGGCTCCTGACTCTCCGTGCTGAGATCCAGCCTGCCCATGAGTGGATCCGGAGTGTCTCTCTGAGACTTCGGAATGTCTTTCACTGTCGCTAGCCTCACTGTGACTGGATCCCTGTCTTCCCGCCTGACTGGACCCTGACCGTGTAGATTGTCCCTGACTGGAGTGGCCATGACTGGTGGTGTCTCCTGACTGCCCATGAGCAGTTCCATGTCTCCCTCTCACTGTGGCTCCTGTCTCTCCGTGCTGAGATCCAGCCTGCCCATGAGTGGATCCGGAGTGTCTCTCTGAGACTTCTGAATGCCTTTCACTGTCGCTAGCCTCACTGTGACTGGATCCCTGTCTTCCCGCCTGACTGGACCCTGACCGTGTAGATTGTCCCTGACTGGAGTGGCCATGTCTGGTAGTGTCTTCTGACTGCCCATGAGCTGTTCCGTGTCTCCCTCTCACTGTGGCTCCTGACTCTCCGTGCTGAGATCCAGCCTGCCCATGAGTGGATCCTGAGTGTCTCTCTGAGACTTCTGAATGCCTTTCACTGTCTCTAGCCTCACTGTGACTGGATCCCTGTCTTCCCGCCTGACTGGACCCTGACCGTGTAGATTGTCCCTGACTGGAGTGGCCATGTCTGGTGGTGTCTCCTGACTGCCCATGAGCAGTTCCGTGTCTCCCTCTCACTGTGGCTCCTGATTCCCCGTGCTGAGATCCAGCCTGCCCATGAGTGGATCCGGAGTGTCTCTCTGAGACTTCTGAATGCCTTTCACTGTCGCTAGCCTCACTGTGACTGGATCCCTGTCTTCCCGCCTGACTGGACCCTGACCGTGTAGATTGTCCCTGACTGGAGTGGCCATGTCTGGTGGTGTCTCCTGACTGCCCATGAGCAGTTCCATGTCTCCCTCTCACTGTGGCTCCTGACTCTCCGTGCTGAGATCCAGCCTGCCCATGAGTGGATTCTGAGTGTCTCTCTGAGACTTCTGAATGCCTTTCACTGTCGCTAGCCTCACTGTGACTGGATCCCTGTCTTCCCGCCTGACTGGACCCTGACCGTGTAGATTGTCCCTGACTGGAGTGGCCATGTCTGGTGGTGTCTCCTGACTGCCCATGAGCAGTTCCGTGTCTCCCTCTCACTGTGGCTCCTGACTCTCCGTGCTGAGATCCAGCCTGCCCATGAGTGGATCCTGAGTGTCTCTCTGAGACTTCTGAATGCCTTTCACTGTCGCTAGCCTCACTGTGACTGGATCCCTGTCTTCCCGCCTGACTGGACCCTGACCGTGTAGATTGTCCCTGACTGGAGTGGCCATGTCTGGTGGTGTCTCCTGACTGCCCATGAGCAGTTCCGTGTCTCCCTCTCACTGTGGCTCCTGACTCCCCGTGTTGAGATCCAGCCTGCCCATGAGTGGATCCGGAGTGTCTCTCTGAGACTTCTGAATGCCTTTCACTGTCGCTAGCCTCACTGTGACTGGATCCCTGTCTTCCCGCCTGACTGGACCCTGACCGTGTAGATTGTCCCTGACTGGAGTGGCCATGTCTGGTGGTGTCTCCTGACTGCCCATGAGCAGTTCCGTGTCTCCCTCTCACTGTGGCTCCTGACTCTCCGTGCTGAGATCCAGCCTGCCCATGAGTGGATCCTGAGTGTCTCTCTGAGACTTCTGAATGCCTTTCACTGTCGCTAGCCTCACTGTGACTGGATCCCTGTCTTCCCGCCTGACTGGACCCTGACCGTGTAGATTGTCCCTGACTGGAGTGGCCATGTCTGGTGGTGTCTCCTGACTGCCCATGAGCAGTTCCGTGTCTCCCTCTCACTGTGGCTCCTGACTCCCCGTGTTGAGATCCAGCCTGCCCATGAGTGGATCCGGAGTGTCTCTCTGAGACTTCTGAATGCCTTTCACTGTCGCTAGCCTCACTGTGACTGGATCCCTGTCTTCCCGCCTGACTGGACCCTGACCGTGTAGATTGTCCCTGACTGGAGTGGCCATGTCTGGTGGTGTCTCCTGACTGCCCATGAGCAGTTCCGTGTCTCCCTCTCACTGTGGCTCCTGACTCTCCGTGCTGAGATCCAGCCTGCCCATGAGTGGATCCTGAGTGTCTCTCTGAGACTTCTGAATGCCTTTCACTGTCGCTAGCCTCACTGTGACTGGATCCCTGTCTTCCCGCCTGACTGGACCCTGACCGTGTAGATTGTCCCTGACTAGAGTGGCCATGTCTGGTGGTGTCTCCTGACTGCCCATGAGCAGTTCCGTGTCTCCCTCTCACTGTGGCTCCTGACTCTCCGTGCTGAGATCCAGCCTGCCCATTAGTGGATCCTGAGTGTCTCTCTGAGACTTCTGAATGCCTTTCACTGTCGCTAGCCTCACTGTGACTGGATCCCTGTCTTCCCGCCTGACTGGACCCTGACCGTGTAGATTGTCCCTGACTGGAGTGGCCATGTCTGGTGGTGTCTCCTGACTGCCCATGAGCAGTTCTGTGTCTCCCTCTCACTGTGGCTCCTGACTCCCCGTGCTGAGATCCAGCCTGCCCATGAGTGGATCCTGAGTGTCTCTCTGAGACTTCTGAATGCCTTTCACTGTCGCTAGCCTCACTGTGACTGGATCCCTGTCTTCCCGCCTGACTGGACCCTGACCGTGTAGATTGTCCCTGACTGGAGTGGCCATGTCTGGTGGTGTCTCCTGACTGCCCATGAGCAGTTCCGTGTCTCCCTCTCACTGTGGCTCCTGACTCTCCGTGCTGAGATCCAGCCTGCCCATGAGTGGATCCGGAGTGTCTCTCTGAGACTTCTGAATGCCTTTCACTGTCGCTAGCCTCACTGTGACTGGATCCCTGTCTTCCCGCCTGACTGGACCCTGACCGTGTAGATTGTCCCTGACTGGAGTGGCCATGTCTGGTGGTGTCTCCTGACTGCCCATGAGCAGTTCCGTGTCTCCCTCTCACTGTGGCTCCTGACTCTCCATGTTGAGATCCAGCCTGCCCATGAGTGGATCCGGAGTGTCTCTCTGAGACTTCTGCATGCCTTTCACTCTCGCTGGAGGACTGATCTGAGCCAGACTGATGATGTCCAAAGCCAGAAGACTGATTTGAACTTGACCCTTGTTGGTCTATGCCAGATGATTGACCTGAGCCCAACTCCTGATGGCCATAACCAGACTGCTGTGATCTACAGTCATGGTGTTCAAAGCCAGAGGACTGACCAGTGCTTGAACCATGTTGGCCAAAGCATGAGGATTGACCTGAACCAGATTCATGTTGGCCACAGGTAGACTGTCCTGATTTAGACTTCTGGTTTCCAAAGCCAGAGGACTGAGCTGAGCCTGATCCATATTGTCCAGCACCAGAGTGCTGACATGAGCCTGACCCATGTTGGCCATAGCAAGACTGTCCTGATGTAGACTCATGGTGTCCAAAGCCAGAGGACTGACCTGAGCCACACCCACCATATCCAAAGCCAGAGTACTGACCTGAGCCTGACCCATGTTGACCAAAGCCAGAAGATTGACCTGAGCTGGATCTATGTTGACTACATCTAGATGTTTCATTTGAACCACACCTCTTTTGATGAGAGTTTGAGGAGTATCCACAGGAACCAGATCCCTGTTGACCATAAGTAGAAGACTGACTTACTCCTGACCCATATTGTCCACAAGAAGAGGACTGACATGAACCTGTTCCCTGTTGTCCTCCACAATTCTGTGGTTGACCACATGTTCTATATCCATATCCTTTCTGCCTAGTAGACTGGCTACAGGAGCTAGGCTCATGTTGACAATATCCAGAGGCCCAACCTCCTGAGATACATCTATGACCTTCTCCACTACTTCCTGATTGATAACCTGATTGGGTACAGCTAGATTGGTTTCCTTGCTCTCCAAATCTACCTGCCTGACAGGACCTAGAAGTGTCTTTTCGTCTTCCACGTCCACCTGAATTGCTAGAACCACATGCATGACTTTCCCTCCCACCATCTCCTGAACATTTAGAGCTAGACCCATGTTTTTGTCCTGCACAACTTGACTGAGTAGAGTTTGATTCATATTCATATGACAGACCACCATGACCTCTCCCTCTACCACTCTTTGATCCAGACTTGTATTCATCCCCAGATGCCCTAGAGGGGCTAACATGTGATTTGTTTCTTTTTCCCTCCAGTTCTCCAGAGCTGGAACCATGTCTTTCTTTGTCATTACTCCATGAGTAACCAGAGCTGGACCCATGGTGCCTTTTTTCAAATCCCTTTTGGTTCTCTGAGCTAGATAAACCACCTTGCCTTCTCAGCCTTCTGGAGCCAGACCCATGTCTGTGTTTTGGAGTTCCCCGAGAGCCCTCGGAACTATAACCATGCTCCTCCCCCTCACTCCAACTTGAATATCTGTAACCTGAGTTTTGTCCTGATGTATCCTCTTCTTCACCTTCAGTTTCACTTTCTTCCTCTTGGTGTCGGCGACTATGCCTGTGCTTCTTTGACCCTGAAGCTTTGCAGTATTTTTTGCTGAGAACCTTGTTGCAGGCCATAGCCAGTTTGAATATCATCAGAAGAAACTCAGTAAAGTCCAGTCTTCGGTCATGATCTCGATCCAGCATATGCATGATGACATCCACTGTGTCTGGATCATCTGGGTTCTGTGTACAGGCAATACACCAAAGAAGACCTGGTCAGCCTAGTCCATATACTCAGCTAAAATATTTGGGTAAAGCTGTAGAATTGTGGGAGGCTTCCCTTGTGGCTCAGCTGGTAAAGAATCTGCCCATAATGTGGAGACCTGGGTTCAATCCCTGGGTGGGAAGATCTCCTGGAGAAGGGAAAGGCTACCCACTCCAGGATTCTGGCCTGGAGAATTCCATCTGCTGTATAATCCATGGGATTGCAAAGAGTCAGGCATGACTGAGGGAATGTTTGATGTTAGGTATTTTAATCCAATCAAGAAATACTTTAGGCTAAAATAGCCTAACAACACCTAGCAAGTGCGAAGAGGTAATAAAAAAGAATAAAGGCCATTGGGATCCTCAGCACATACAGTTCAAGGACCTAAGCTAGAGAAGTAGATACTCAGGTGTGGCAAATAAGGGGGACTCGAATAAACCAATTCAGTACCTGGTGTGTTTAACATACATTTTAAGCCTTGCCTGCTAATATATTCTATGTTATGATCTATAATTTTGAAGTTAATAACTGAGTCCTTTCCAAGTAAATAGGAAAAAAAATTCTTGTATTTTGTTTTCAGTTTTTAGTCACCTTGGTTACTTGATCAATACCCCTAATACATGTTTTCCCTCTCTATATCTTTTCTTCCTCATTTGCTGGGGTAATTTATAAATTGATAGCACAAATTTATCATATGCTTTTTTAGAAGGAAAAACTTGGGGACATGAAAATGTCTGACAGTCTGTATGGTGGGAGGAAGAAAATGATCACCTCTTTAAAAATAAATGCTGCCTCAACAGCCTTTCTGATGTCCCCCAAAAGTACCACTCATAGTGTGAACTCAAAGACCATGGGGATTGTGCACTTTTTAGCTATTCCTTGGTCATAAAACAGAGAATATACAAGACGCTAGTAGTTTTCAGTCCTGGTACATGGTCCTCACCTTCAGAATCGGACGAAACTCTTTCTCCAGAAGTTCCTTTAGTTCATCCTTGCTCAGTGTGGCACACTCCCCATCCTGCTTGGTGTATTTGTAGAAAGTATCAATTACGGTGACAACGCTTTTCAAGAGATTGGTCATCTTTTTGCAGGTTTAAATGAACCTGAAGGGAGAAAAAAAAGATCCTCTCATTCATTTTATTTTAAGTTATAAACAGTTCTGATTTTAATAGTAATCATCCAAGTTTTTCAAATATCTTGTCTCTTTAAACCAAAATACCTCAACAAGTAAGACTAGGTCAGGGGTGATACAATACACATAAACACAGTGAAAGCTAACCTTGTTAACTTTGAGTTACTTTGCTAAGATTGAGCCATACATGGCATGTTATTGACTGATCTGGGACTAGATTTCAGGTCTCCATGTCCTGGATGAATATATTCTCTACACAGCATCTCTACACTTTGTGTACTTTGGTGTTCTGGGTGTTGTCTTGGGGCTTCCAAAATTTCTAGAACCACCGAGATATATTGCTCCAGTCTCTCTGGCTAGTTTCACTGTTTTTGTTTGTTTGTCTTTTAAATCAAACATACCAGACCATCTAACATGCATACCTGCCTCCCCTCTGGGTACCAGAGCTAATTGGACTGTTAAGGCATTTAGCAAATTAAGAATGGACAAAGTGGGCTAACTCTATCCTGGTGCTTCAGAAGCATGAGATAGCCCTCATCAAAGCTCACGAGATATCCTAATCTCTGCCTTAACCAAACTCTGTTTTCTTTCAGTAATCAGGGGAAAAGATTGAGCAATGCAGACTGCAATTTGACTAGAGGATGATTAGATCTTGCCACTGAACAAGGATGGATTTCTGTAACAGTGCTGGTCTTTTCCCTATTTCAGCTGGACAACCCAGAAAATATGGCACAAAAAAATGACTAGGAAGAGAATGTGGAACAGCCTAGAAGAAACAAATTTCTACTTGCATTATTTTCCATAACAAAGAAAAATTTATTCTAAAAAGACCCTGGAATAAACTAAACTGACCAAACAAATAAGCAAACAAAAAGAAGAAAAAGGAAAGAAACGAAAAGGAGGGAAAGCAGGAAAACCAAATATATATTAACTCTGTCTTAGCTCATACCCCTGGATTTATACCACGAACAATAGCCAACCAAATATCCACTGATGTAGCTGGATGAGTTTTCTCTCACCTGGTTCACCAAAGGAGAAAGTAGGATAAAGCCTGATGCAGCTTTCAGGGCGACAAAGGATTGAGCTAGTGGCCCTTATATAGCTAACAAGTGGGTGCTGCCCTCTGTGGGTTGGACTGATTCATTTTCAACAATCCTATCTCCTCCTCTGTCCGTGTTTATCTTCCTACTTCGCATTCTCATCTCTGTGATGATTGCAGAAAGGCTGGTACTGGCCCACCCTCCAATATGAGAACATGTCGCACAACACTTTTCTCAGGGTCATACACTTGTGAAAAGCAGAGATAATGTCTTAGAGGACAAATGTCGTTCAATCCCTTTACTATCCACCAAAAGTGGCAAAATGTAAGCTACTTGGCAGTGTGTAATAGATGCTTATTTAATTGAAAATGAACCTGGGCCACCAGGCTGACATAATTAATGTCTTTTTTGCAATAATAATAGCTACTATTTATTGAGAATTTAGTATGTACTAGATACTATGCTCAATTCTTTTCACATATCATCTCATTGAATCTCTACAGCATTTCTATAAAGTTTGCACTGTATTCCATTTTACAGATGAAGAAACAGGTTCAGAGGTCATAAGAGCCCTCTCTAAGGTAACTCAGCTTATGAATGGAGGAACTAGGGTTTGAACTGTATCTATCTTATCATAATGCCCTTTCTTTTAACTGTTATACTAGCTTACCTCTACTATACACACCTATTACACAAAAAAGCATGCAGTTTTAGGAAATATATGGAAGTATATAAAAGGAGTATTATCAGCCAGGAAGAGAAGAAACATACTCTCTGGAAGGCTTTTTTCTAGGCTATAAAATTATGTTAGTGGGCTATACATAAAAGTTGTTTCTTTCAGAAGTGTTCAAGGTGAATTTAGAGGGGGCTTTCTTCTAGCATTCTGCTATTCATTAGTAGTCTGGCAGTTTTGGGCCTAGACCCTTGGGAAAATGTCATTTTTGTACATAAAGTATATAAAATATAATACCTGAGGGAACTGCCTGACATGGCAGTTTTACATGCTTACATATTTATTGTTTGCAATAATTCTGTGAGGTCAGTATTATTGTCATTCTCATTTTACAAATAAGGAAATGAAAGCATAGAGAAATTTAATAATTTGTCCAAAATCACATCTTGGAAGTGGCAACACTAGCATAGAAACCCATACTGTCCAATGCTAAAGCCTGCCTCTTAATCACACATATACCACATATTTGGAGTCAGTCAGTTCCTATTTGGGTGCTTCCTCAGGGAAGCCATTTATTTTATTTACCTCACCATCTTAGACAATGCCTAGCACTTAGTTAGCAGTTAGAATCTCTGCTCACAAAATGTTAATGGATATACTGCTGATATATATCCATTGCTTTCCTAGTCAGGGATTCCCTGACCAAAATGACAACATGGAAAGTGATGTTGTCCCATGGATATTATGGTCATTTTCAATTGTGTGTGTCTTTTGGAATTGTGCTTGTTTTTATTGAGATGACTGTTGTGTCAGGAGGACTTTCAGACCCCCAGATTCCACACTGAAGTAGATTTTTAAACTCATCCTTTGGCTGCTATCCAAAAGTCTACAAGCAATAAATGCTAGAGAGGGTGTGGAGAAAAGGGAACACTGTTACACTGTTGGTGGGAATGCAAATTAGTACAGCCACTATGGAAAACAGTGTGGAGATTTCTTAAAAAGCTGGAAATAGAACTGCCATATGACCCAGCAATCCCACTTCTGGGCATACACACCAAGGAAACCAGATCTGAAAGAGACACGTGCACCCCAATGTTCATCGCAGCACTGTTTATAATAGCCAGGACATGGAAGCAACCTAGATGCCCATCAGCAGACGAATGGATGAGGAAGCTGTGGTACATATACACCATGGAATATTACTCAGCCATTAAAAAGAATTCATTTGAATCAGTTCTAATGAGATGGATGAAACTGGAGCCCATTATACAGAGCGAAGTAAGCCAGAAAGATAAAGACCAACACAGTATACTAACACATATATATGGAATTTAGAAAGATGGTAATGATAACCCTATATGCAAAACAGAAAAAGAGACTCCGATGTATAGAACAGACTTGTGGACTCTGGGAGAAGGCGAGGGTGGGATGTTTCAAGAGAACAGCATTGAAACATGTATATTATCTAGGGTGAAACAGATCACCAGCCCAGGTTGGATGCATGAGACAAGTGCTCGGGCCTGGTGCACTGGGAAGACCCAGAGGGATCGGGTGGAGAGGGAGGTGGGAGGGGGGACCAGGATGGGGAATACATGTAAATCCATGGCTAATTCATTTCAATGTATGACAAAAACCACTGCAATGATGTAAAGTAATTAGCCTCCAACTAATAAAAATAAATGGGAAAAAAAAATAATAAAGTCATCCTTGCCCTGCAACTTTAGGATTCTAGTTCCATTGTTTGCCCGCTCTCAGAACTCTGCCACTCTTGCTTGTATTTTTTGTGTTCAGGCCTCTTTTCCTCTTCTGACTTGCAGATCACACTAGGTAAAAATATTGACTTAGGAATCAGAAATATCTGAGTTTAAATTTCAGCTCTGTCTCTTATAGGTAGTGTTTCTTGGGCAATTATCTGATCCTCTGAGCCTCAGTTTTCCAATTTCAATAATATGTACCTCACTGTGGAGATAACTTAGGATAACATGTGAAATTGTTTAGTACTTACCTGGCATATAATAAATGCTTAGTAAACTGTAAAATTATTGCAAGATGCTTTAAAATATTTTATAGCAACTATCACAGTGTTTTATAGGAGGCACTCAATAATGTATGATAAAAATAAATCAGGAGCTAATGGTAGGCCTTTAAAGGCAGAAATACTCCTTATTTGTCAAAAGCATTGCTCCAGAAGATGTCATGACTTTTTTAAAAACAATTTTATTGAGATGTAATGAACATACTAAAATTCAACCTTTTAAAGTATATAATTCAGTGGCTTTTAGCATATTCACAGAATTGTGCAGCTGGGTTTTAGTTAGTGTTCTTAAGTTTCTTCACTTCTCAGTGCTTCACTTTTCCCTTTGTAATAACTGCAGCATGTTCTTAGTGTCAGGGGAATAAGTGGACACCTGTCAGATCATTTCAGCTGCAATTTTGGAGAATAGTTATGATCCTACCAGAGGCTTAAGCACTATTTGGAAAGAAAACAAGGTGATGTAGGGATCAATTTGATGACACCTGCAGAGAAATTTCCTGCCTGGCTTCTGAAAGTTTGTTTAGCCCGGTGAAGCAGAGGCCTGGAGTCAGGGGTTAGGGCACAACCCAGCTTACCATTTCTCCATCTCTGGATCTTCTTCTTGCACGATTCACTCATCTCATCAGATTCTTTGATTTTAGGCCCATTTAGTGAAGTTGTGCACTGTTTGCAAAAGGATTGTCTTGAGAGGGAAGCAACACCTTAGAATATTAAAAACAACTTTCATTATACCTGTAAAAGTCCTAGCTTTGGGTTTTTCCACTGAATATCAGCTGAATTTTGTTTCCTATCTCACTGTATTCAAGGGGGGCCTTCTCCAAGTTAAATTAGTCTCTTTTAGCGTCCTGTTCAGTTCAAAGGGAATTCTGTAAAGGACTTGCTTAGAGCTTAAATGATCCTGTCCCTATCATTAAGAGCCAAACATTCCTCTGTGCTGGGACTCTTAGGAGTTTGGGGTTTCTGAACAAACTCGACTTAGAACTGATAACCTCAGAGTTGATCCAGGGATGCTGATAGCTATTATATGTCTCTCTTCTATAAAAGCAATTTAGGGAACTGTTCTTGGCTCATAATATGATGTGGTAGGAAAGAACACTGACTTTGCAGTAAGACAGATTGTTTTTATATTACAGCTCCAACATTTACTACCTGTAATACCTTGGGCAAATTTCTAAATCTGAGTCTCTTTCCATTTCTGTGA